AAATTTGATGCAAACTAGCAATGTAATAATGTTTTTATAGGGTAATATGATTCACATGTCAAAGACCAGCTGTATTTCAGGGCATATCAAATTTGATGTAAACTAGCAATGTATTTGTGGTTGGAGTTCTCTCTCATCAGTTTTAACTTTATTAGTTTCAACACGAAGGAACAGGTCAACTGCTTTTCATGGTTTTGAAGTCGTGATACTTCTAACGACAGGAAATTCTATATTCATACATATTATGGGTTTCAAGTGGTTTAATATATGATAGTCAAAATGGAACAATGTAAGATTAATACTATTTTTTTCTTCTTTTATCAACCAAACATACTGAGAGGTTAACACTACCATTTTCTTCTCGTGACTAATGTTATTTTCTCTCTTTATGACTTGTTGTAGACGCAGTGTGAAAGCATTGTCAGTATTAGCTGCCAATTATGTTCTATTTTTTATTGCTCTTTACGATATTCTTCTTTTTCAGTCATAAGTTGACTTCTAGGAGAAATTGTCAAATGCACTTTTTCCTTTCTTTAAATAACATTCTATGCTAGTTAGACAGTATTATCGCCTTGTTTATAAGCATTAGGACAACATTTTAAGACCAATTTGAGAGGTCACGCGGTATCGCTGTCAGCACACAGTCAACTCATTGGATCTTTCGTCTTCGTTTTTTTTTTTTTTTTTTTTTGAGTCATTTTTCTTGATTCTTAAGCTTGGGTTTTATTTACAGTTCAGTGTTTGTTTTTTTGTTTCTCTATTAGGCTGTAATGTCAGTTAAAAAGTTGTGTTTTTTACCTGAGTCATCTGGCCACTTCATGGTCTGTTTGGTGGGAGAAGAGTTGGAGGAAAGGAAGGGGGAGAGGGAATGAGAGAGAAGGATATGCCTTGCATGGTCTGGAAGTAGGAAGGGCTGAGAAAAAGGAAGAGAGGAGGGTGGCCAGGGAGCATTTTTATGTGGCCCACCATATTTTTTCCTTCCAAAAGTGGGTATAAAAAAGAAAAGGAAAGGGAAAAATACATTTTTTTTTCTTTTAGTTTATTTTCTTATCTCTAGGCAGATTAGTGGGGTTATTAGAGTAGATTAAATAAAGGGTTGAAATTAAACCTTTGTTAGAGCAATCCTAGGATCTTAAAAGGTACTTGTTCCAGTTTTTGAACGATTTGTTGAGTATTGTTAATAAAATTCAGTATATCATTACTTTTAAGTTTTAATGTGAATGCTGGAGACTTCCTGTTATAGATGGCTAACAAACCCAGTAATCCTACGTTCTGTGATCTGCAATTGCTCACATTCTCATTGAATTTCTCCACTATCTGCCCTTTTTGTGTAAATCTTCATGTAAAAATTTCTCCGATTTGTCCTTCGTACCATGTTCAGATGATTATACTTATAACACATGGAAGAGCATTATATTACTTGATTAAGTGTCACAAAAAATCAAATAAATGCCATTAATTGAACCTCAATTATAAAATTGACAGTCTAATGGACAAAACCGGAAGAGTGTCCAGGATTCATGCTTAAAACCTTCTTCTTTTTTTTCGTTTGGGGTACACATTTTAAAGTGCTTGTCTCTATCAACCAAAAGGTATGTGCTCTTAGAAGAAGAGTCTGGCAGCATTCAAGTTTAGGTGGGTTTTGGGTCCTTTTGTGTTGCGTTAGTAAAGTAACTTATGAACTCAATTGCATTAAACTTCTTCTTTTAATTACTTTAGACCTGTGTTTTTCCTTGATAATTATTTTTTAACTTGAGGTTTCACTTATAAAATTTAGGATAAATTGCATTCACACCCCCCTGAGGTTTCAAAAGTCATGTTTACCCCTGAACTTATTAATTGACAAAAATAACCCTAATCAATATTCTGTTTTCCCCTCTCACCCAAAACCGCCACACCCATCCACCGCTGCAACCCACGCACGCCGCCACATCAAACACAACATACCCACCGCCACAACCAACAAAACACACCCACCGCCACAACCACCGCATTTGGGTCAAACCCACACACCCCATGATGACCACCGCCATACCCACACACCCATACATTGCCCGAATAAGTTGTTGGACCACAGAGCCTCTGATCTTAACCCTACCCACGCAAAATTACTGGCGGCGAAGAGATCTCTATTCGCCACTGCAATTGTCGAAACTGTTGGCATCACCAAGTAAATCTTTGTTGCCACTGTAATCATTGATCATGCCTCTAATTCGCGAGCGGTGGTGGTGGTTCTGATTGTTGGTGGTGACGGCAGTGGTGGGTTTCTCTAATTTGCGAACGGTGGTGGCTTTTGCCTCTGATCTTGTCGCTTCTGATCGACGGCAGTGGTGGGTTTCTCTAATTTGCGAACGGTGGTGGCTTTTGCCTCTGATCTTGTCGCTTTTGATCGACGGCAGTGGTGGTGGTTGCTTCTGATTGTTGGTGGCAACGGCGGTGGTATGGTGGGTTTCTCATGAAAGGGGCGGCAATGGTGGTGGTTGGTGTTAGGACAGAGAGGGTATGGGAGGGATAGAGATAGAGACCAAGAGGGCATATGTTGTGGGTATCGGATGGTGTATGAAAGAGACTGAGGGTATGGTGGGTTAGAGAGAGAATGTAAAATGAAGGGTATTTTGGTCCTTTAAAATTTAGGGTTATATTAGGAATTTACCCTTTTATGTAATTGTTGACCAAGTCAAAGGCCAAAATGGTCATTTTCTCGGGTAGAGGGGGTGTTTATGTCAACGTTTGAAACCTCAGGGGGTGTCAATGTAAACTAGTACATTAACCGTTCGCTAAGTGGTGTTGACTCAAACCTTTGAGGAGTGAGTGCAATTTACCCCAAAATTTAAGGCGTGCATTATCATTTAGTTGACAACAATTTTTCTCTAGTTTTTTCCAGCACAAATATCGCATCGTAACTATTTCCTTACAAGACATCTATTTTTCCTTAATAACCTTGCCGGACATCCTCTTTTAAGTGTTGCGCATATTACCTTTGTGGCATGATATTTGAATATATGACCTAAAATAGTGGCAGACTGGTCTATTAGCAATCTGCAGGAAAACCACTGGTTTCATATGAAGTTTTACATATAAAATATGGTACAGGGTTTTCTCTGCTTATGCATATGTTTCTGGTTTAGTGTGTGAAACTGTTCATTGGCAAACATTTACGTTGAGTGACCATCAGTATTTTTTATTCTTAAGGATTACATTAAGTATAGAAAATTCATTTCTGTTAACGATTTTTCTTCTCATTTGAATGATCTTTACAGGGTGAGGTGTTAAAGGGACTTTTTGCACTTCTGGAGATGGTAATGCTTCTAAGATGTGATTGAAGAAGATTGGACGGGCTTAGTAATATTTATCAGTTCCTCTTTTTGGTATCAATGATCTCCTGTAGATATACAAACTACTCTCTTCCACAGTAATTTATTAGTTCCTCTTTTTGGTATCAATGACTATTGTTTAAATTACATTTGCTTTTTGAAAATCAAGTAAGAAGCTGTGATGTAGGTCAGGAATCAGGAGGATGTCAAATTTAGGTGAAAACTCGAATTTTGAAACTTTGTGCAATCTATTATGCAACGTAAAAAGGAATGGAAATTGGAGTTGCCTAGTTAATAGAAAGGATACTTGGAATTTCATTTAGCCCACGCGGGTTAGCTCAACTGGTAAGGCCTTTGGAGTACTCTCTTTCAATCTCCGGTTCAAGACCCACCAAAGGTCAAGCCTCGACTTAAATGATGCATGTGAGTTGTGGACGATTGTGTGCATCCGAAGTTTGCACACCATTTGAGAGTTCAAACTTCATAGTGACTAGCGGAGTGATTAGATTCTTCGTTATTAAAATAAATAAAAATCTCGAGAAAAGTGCACACTTGAAGAGCCATTAGCTTGTGTAGGGCCTATCCAAGAAATCCCCACCATATAGGTAGTAAAAAAAATTTAGTACAAAAGACGAAGACAGTCCCAGAGATCAGCCCAAACATAAGCCTCTCTCTAGTAATAATGAGCGTCTATTATGAGAGCACCAAACATAAGCCTCTCTCTAGCAATAATGAGTGTCTATGATGAGAGTGCTCTGAGTTGCATATAAATGAGTCCAAGTTTCTAAAACGCGCCCTCTTGATCGAGTCCATAAAAACAATCTTCTTGTGTTAACTACTATCTAAAGAAAATTCCAATATTATTTCATAAAGTACTTCAATCAAAATTCATAACTCTTACTCACCAAAATCTTTTTCCCCAACTATGATCCATTTGATTTGAACCATCAGGCTTTATCATACTATTTCTTACTAAATCTATTTACATTAATTTTGGTCTTCTCCCTTTAACATTGTCATCACCAATGGGTTGGACTAGCAGTATCGGACCCTTACTTCTTAAAAAGAGGTCAAAGATTCAAACCATAGTAGAGGCATATGTATAGTCCGCCTATACCAAACATTTATCATACATACAAGAAAAACAAAAAAAAAAACATTCCTGCATAAGACTAATAAAATCATTTTTCTCATTTTTGATTGATTGTGATGCTGAAAATTGCAAAAACATATCTAAGGGGTAAAACTCCTTTGGTTTAGAGTTGTAATCAGTCTGAGCATCATTGTTCTTTATGTAGATGCATGGTGTGTAACACCACCTGAATTAATTGTACTTAGATGCATGCTGAGCAATACCGCCTGTATTAATTGTATTTAGACGCATGCTGTGTAACACAAACCTGTATTAATTAATTGCTTGTATCAGCAAGCCATAACTCATTCCGCTTGATATGTAATGGCGGGTATTAAGCAATACAATATATACATGACCAGGGAATATGCCGTATGAAACATTTTTTCAAATAAATCTAGTTCCGCCAGAATGTTTATTACACTTACAGTTCATTCACAGAACAGAAGAATAAAGGAGATGGTTTCCCATTAATGTTAGAAGGAAATCAATATGAATCAAGCAACACCTTCCAATATGAATCATTTTCTGCATTCGCCTTTCACATTTTAAAATAATTTCATAAGACAGAAAGTTCATGATTAAAATGGAATAATATTTTACAATTTTCGTAATTTGGTATAAATTTTAACAAAATCTTGAAGACCAAAAGTTGCAGATTCCAGAAAAATGAAAAGAAAAACAAAAAAGGGTAAAAGTTCAGCAACAAGAGCACCTCAAGTTCCCAATATAAGACGGAGTTCCTCTACGTGCCTCAAAATGCAAAAATACTTCCCACAAACCCGTACAGGAGATCTTCTCATAATGTACAAATACTACCTTCAACGAGTAAGAAAAGAAATGAAAAGTAAGGCCTACAAGCCACATGACCTCCAAACAATAGAATTTGAAACAAAAGATTGCACTAAACGCTAGACAGCGAGAAGACCTCTGTTGAAGGAAAAAAAAAAAAAAAAGATCATATAAAAGCTCATCTGTCACCGTCTTTAAACAACACTTGGGGACCATTCAACTCACAATCCACGAGGAAAATTGTTGATTTGTCCTTCCTCCAAACAATCTTTGTTATTCATCTTGTAAGCTATCCGTATGCGCATGACAATGGATTTCTGGAAACAAAATAATTATTATATGGTGTCTCAAACGATAAATAAATAGACGAAAATTCTAAACCGTGTTTCAATTGAATTAACGCAGTTCGCCAGACCACACAACATCCGGATATTACTAAATGTCACTCCTGATAGACTGTTTTTTATCAATTGGTGAAGAGCAAGTTCTAACGGGCGCTTACAAACTTGTGCACGGAAAATTATACTCCAATGGATCTTCTAAAATGGTTGATAACGAGAAAAGACTTTCACTTGAGGATAGGGGTCTCTCACATTAAACAATAGAGAATTTAATACCTTACTCACGTCATGAAGACCATAATCTGGTCAAAAAGAATAACAAAGATCAAAATAATATACAATATCCATACCTTGCCATGTTGGCTGTTGGTAACTCGCAAAGTTTGTGTGATTGAACCATTGTCACTTGTAGGGAGAGTATTACTGCTAGCTGGATCTAAGTGCAGCTGAAGAAACTATGGGATGAAAGCACCAGATGTATCAGAAAAGCATGCTCAAGAAAACAATTAAAATAATAATAATAGAAATAAAATAAATGGTATCTAAATTAATTGTCCGAATAAGCAATTGAACAAATTTGGAGTTGTCGTTCACTGAATAAAGAGGTAGTGAAAACGAATGCTGGTAAATGCAAATGTTTTTACATAAAAATACAGAATCTATGTCGAAAATTTTGTACATAAGAAAGGCTCAATATGACGACGCTTATAAACTGCCTATATACTCTAATGCATACAAGAAGACACGCTATTAAGAGAGAGGAGAACTTAAATTTCAGAAGTCATAGATTTTCACATGCTGAACAAAGAGAGAGCAAAAGATGAAAATGAAAATGCATCAAAACTACTAAAGAATTGTATTTTTCCATTTTAATTTATATTTATACAGAACATGAACAATTGGGCATACGAACATTACAACTTGAATGGGGGATAAAGAGCACGAAAGGAACAAAATTACACAAATTCAAATGAGAAGTTAGAAAGTGTAAGCAGAAGAGATGCAGAAGTCCACTTATAAGTTAAACTTTGTGGAAAGAAAGTATATAATAGCATGAAAGTTTAATTGATGACCGTTGCCTGGTACTACCTTCGGTACAGCTGCCTGGAAAATGAAATCTGTATAAACATTAGGTGACTTGTTTGTAAAAGTAGCTTGGATATGGGTTGCTTGTGGATCTCCAGATGGTTTTGAGAAGTTGAACATTAATCTCAACGAGCTGCTCTCAAATGCAACTAATGGCGGATAAGCATGACCATTGTCTCCTGTTTATTGAAAAGACGTTATCAATATTTGAAGAACTAAATGTACTGCCTAACAAAGTTCAAGTAATATTAAAAGGTTATACCAGGCTTTGGTGGATCTGGAGAAAAGCCATCTAACAAATCCATCATGGAAGAACCCCCAGCAGGAGAAGGGGTTTGTGCAGAAGATGCAGGTGATGACAATCTCTCTAGTGCACCAGCTGCAGTTTTGTTATCCTGACTGGAGGATAAAATATCAGGTGTAGATAAGCTGTTTTGAGCTGGAGGCATTCCAATTGACAAAAGGTCCAATAGGACATCCGTGCCACTTTTTTGAGCCTGACTCCCACCTATAAATACAGGGAAAAAAATAGAACACCCACTGTTTAGAATTCAATTGATCTATTTACAAGATATAATTAAGAGACAAAGGTATTTTAGAAGAATGAAGTTATACTTAAACCAAAGCTTCCCGTGGTACTAGCAAAACCACTAATTGCACAAGCAGTAGTCATCACAGAGAACAAAGAAACTCTGCAATTCTAACAGCTAATAGTGCATATTCAATGATGACTTTTTTTTTCAGAATGTATATTCAATGATGACTTGCTAAAGAAGTGTTGGCATGTAAATAAACCTTTGTTGCTCTGATGAAATCATATTCTCAAAGACTTCAATGGGGATTAAAAGATCAAAAAAATGGAACCTACTTGACTAGATTCCAACCCGTTATCTGGTTTTTAAATATTCTAATCCCCTCCACCTTGGCTTAAATGGTAAAAGAGATGGCCTGAGGTTGGAGTATGTCTTAGGTTCAATCCTTTACTGATGAACTAGGAAGCACTGGCACGTCTCCCAGGGGGGACGTACTAGTGTCGGACACGCGTGTCCCAAGCTTGGCCACATGTCCGACACGCCGCTAGCCGTGTCCTGTTCTTTTTAACATATCAGAGCCGACCGGACACTGATCGAACACGCCCGACACCAGTCGGACACGCTGAAGACACGGGCCTTTTTGTTTCAAATAGAGAGAAAGAAGATGAACAGAGCCAGAGATGAAGAAGTTGAAGAGGGAGCCAATGTGGGTTATATATATCTACAATTCAAATTGATTTTATTTGTTTAGAAATCTGAAAATTAAGAAGTAGAGGGGAGGAGAGAACGGCCGGAAAAGATGGAGCACCCCTGTATTTTGAATGAAAAAATAGCGTAGGGTTTCCTGAAGATAGAGTGGGATGAGAGAGGAGGAGAGAACTGCAGTAAGGGGGAAAGATGGAGTGTGCTATATATATATATATATATATATATATATTATGTTTGTTTTAGAATGGAATCTGCTTGGCTGATGTTTTTATTATATATATTATTTTTGAAAAGAAAGGTGGTGCACCTAATTTAAATGAGCTATATTTATTGTATAATATATATAAAAGAATAAGAAAGAGTATAAGTTAATTTTTTTATATATAATAATAAAATATTATTATTTTATTGTTGTATCCGTGTCCTATTTTTTTTAAATTTGCCATATCGCCATATCCGTGTCGTACCCGTGTCACGTGTCCGTGCTTCATAGCTGATGAATGTGTGTAATTTTAAGGCCACTCTTACTGCCAAAGCAGCATTTGCTATCTCCTCCCCTCCATCCCACCAACTAACAAAGGGTTTCACTCTTTCCTCCCCTTCCAATCAACCAAGTAATAATATTCAAAACCTTCCCCTCTCTAGCGATACCTATTCCATCCCTTTTCCCTTCCCTTTCATCCACGTTTCCATACCTCCTACCAAACAGATTATATTTATACAACAACCAAGCCTTTTCTCAGTTACTTGACATATTATTTACAAAGACATGTATTAACACTAAAAAACATGTTTCACAGAGATTTAGATTTTGATTGAAAGAGAGAGAGAGAGAGAGAAGTACCGAAGAAAAAAGCTACGTTCTTACAGAACACGGCACAATTTTGCTGAGTTTTTTCTGAGTTTACTTTTACAGCAAACTTACCATTTTGAAAAGGTTTTCATCACACACAAATACTTGAAAAAGTGAGCTCATAGATATTATATTTCGTCAATATGGAGTATAGTTGAACAATACAATCAAGCATCATTTGAATTTGCAGAAGGTAAACTTAATTATGGGTTTGGCAAATAATCACTGTGAAGAGAAGATGAATTGTGGTTTAATTGCATTGACTGAAGTAACAGGCTAGTAGGTGAATGTTTTTGCCAGCTGTAAATCAACTGGCTAGAGGTTCTAAAGTTTGAATATGATCTAGTAACGCAAGGCTGTACTCTTTTTACATAATCAATTATATCCCTATGGTTCTTCCACGTGGTATTCCAACCTGTTCCTCCAAACACCATTGATCAACAGGGAGAACACAGTGTTTTAAACAACACGAAAATTCAATCAAATGGCAAAATAACCTATTTTTACCATTGGGTCCTTGGCCTAGGTGGTATGACCTTCACCACTGCAAATGAGAGGTCAAGGGTTCAAGCCCCAAGCTGGCCAAAATAGGTGTGTGGGTTGCTAACTTGCCAAAAAGAAAAACCAACTATTCGCCACCCCTTTAAACTCTATAACAAAGAGTAAATCCAATCGGGAACTTTCAATGGCATATCTCACGTGGAGAAAAGCAAAAGAAGTCCCGTCAGTCGTTTACTGATTGAAAATTTCAACAGATTATGGACCCAAGGATCTTGTACCAAGATTCCAATGAAAGAAGTCATCTCTAAATCGGATTTGGATCCAGAAAACTGCAATGCCAAGCTTGACTTATCTGAACTGGTCCTCCCACTTTTTCTTCTTGTATGAAGATAACTGTCTATGTCGCCATTGCTTCCATGAACACTGTCACTACCTTTCTGAGCTTGATGATTTCAACAAAACACTTAGCTATCAAACAATCATCATAGTTTGCCACCACCGAACTCCATGAGGTCTAACCCAATATTTCACTAATACCAAGTGTAGAAAACAATGTGTGTGTGTGTGTGTGTGTGTATAATTGAACAACAATCTTTCTTATTTAAGGGTATAATTGACTTCTTGTAATAGATGAAAAAAGCCGTCAAAACAGCAAATGCTTCTCCGGCAAGATCATTACCACATTCTGAATAAGTGCATTTGTTTGGGTTGAAATTCGTACATTTTGGGCTTTACTCAGATGCAATTGCCTTAACCCTATTACCAACTCTAATTACAAAAAAGAAATTGTGGTTTGACTAAGTGACAAATAATAGTAGCAGTTCTTAATGGTGGACTGAATGGTTAAAGAGTTCATCCAATAATTTTTACATTAAAAGAATGAAAATGAGAAATTTAGGTTCTAAAATAATGGCTCGGACTTTTGAAATTGCTAATTATTGCCATAATGCTGCAAGAAAATAACTCTTAAATGAAAGGATAGGAAACACAGAAAACGAATGGAAAAAAAGAATGCAGTTTTACAGGCATTGTATTATGATTATGCCTTGATGCGTTCCAAACCTGACCTGATTGTGGCGAAACTGGTGACAGATCAACACCAAGAAGATCCTGAAGAAAATTACCGCCAGATGAGCTAGGTTCCAAGGCCTCATCTGAACTGAGATCAAGTAAATCAACAAGTGGAGCAGCAGCAGGTTTGGCAACTCCATTTGGAAGATTAATTGCAGCCCCATTTGAAGTTGAAACAGTTGCTGGCAGAGAACCAGCCCTCCTTCCAACGTAAGTTGCTTCATCAAGAACTGGCATCCTCTCCAGAAGTTGAGACCTGCATCACACATCCAGCAGGTTTGTAAGTTTAGATATGCACTATCTAGGAAAATTTTCAAAAGAGGGGCAAATGGAAAATGAACTGGTTAAAGAATAGAGATCTTGGTGAGGTAAGCTAAAAGAATACCTGATATTCTGATGCTTCTCGATAATAGAATTGAATTCAATGGATCTCTGCTGCAATTCAAGCACAAGGCTTCCTTTAGATTGAACAATGATATCCTTTATCCTCCTGCAGAAAATAGTAAACATACAATCATATTTTTGACTCGGAAAGAGATTAACAGAATCAACCGGACAATATCAATGTATCATATATATAGGATATAAATAGTGGTCGAAAATAACAGATGCTAGAAAATGTATAAAAAAATGCATGAAAAAAAATTCCTTGATTGAAAGAAGAAATAATTTTCAGCAATGCAAGTGATAGACACATCAAATTTAGTTGAATCAGAATGAAGCTAAGAAATAAGAAAAGTCTTTCAAGATTGGACATTGTAATAATACAAGTAGAACTAATAACACAAAGAAATATGACACGCCAACATTTAAGATTCATTGCTAGAATATTATGACAAAACGAGTAAGCAAAAGAAAAGGGAAGAAATTTATTTAACAAAATTATGAACAAGGTTGATATGTCTGTAATCGTCCCCTCCCAACACCCGCCGTAAGAAGGACATATAATGGCTGATGCATTCAGAAGAAGTGCAGAGTGACATTTTAATGCATGAGGCCGATAGACCAGTTAAACAATCTTATCAGACGGGATAATAGGAGATGCCCTTGTACAAACAGGACGAGCAGAATGTAAATATACAAGAAACCCAAGTCCAATTAGAACAAACAGTGATGATGGTTAGACATCCCTAAATAAAAAGAAGTGGAACTGTTTTGCTTTGAGAAAAAAGAAACAAGTACTCATCACAAGTCCATCGTAATTCAGATTATTACTCAATATATATATTCAAGTGTTTTCTTCATTCTTTCTTATATATATATATAAATTTGGAAACTAAAAGCAAAGAACTGGAGGGCACCAAAAAATGGAGTCTAACCCATGTATACAAGAAGTATATAACAATGGCCACCTATTTGTCCACAAGTATGCATAGACCACCCAAAAACTCTGCCGAAAAAGGATTGGAAAAAAAAAAAAAAACAAACAAACAAACTGTAAGAAGAGGAAGAGGGTTCCCTAGCCAAAAGCAAGAACTCGACATCAAATGCTTCAACTTGTGAATTGTGAGCTTCACTCCCTCAAAAGACCGTAAATTCCACTCATTCCATATGTACTACATCACACAAGAGGGCACAGCTTCCGAGGCTTTCCCAGTACTACTAAGTTACTCTTACTCCAACTCCTCAACGATTTGGCATAAGTGCCGCATAGCCCCTTCAAAACTGAACAAAGAAATCATAAGCTCCATAGCTCCCTATCCACCTCACATTGAAGTCGGTGAATACTCTTTCTTCTACCCTTTTACACATGCATCAATTCACCATCACTTGACCTCTTTCCCCAAAATCGTTGGTGGTCAGATTGGCATTTAGAGAAGTTGTCACAAAAACAAAAACAAAAACAAAAAACAAAAAACAAAAAAGGAAAGAAAGAAAGGGGGAAAAAAACAAAAGAGGGGGAAGAAAAAAAGGAAAAAAGAAAAATAAAGAGAACACCGACAACAGAGCCTCTGTCCACAAATGCCCTTCCAAGGGAAAGGAGTCCCCCTCACCACAAAGCACATTATATAGAACTTACCATTCCTAGGCATCTTCCGCCTCACTAATCCATTGCCTCACCCTGGAAAACAACGACATCCAGCTGCTGCAAAAAACCATCTGGCGACTAATTCTCACACCTCAAAAGCTCACATATATAGTAGGAGCCTTCACAACTCTGTTCTCCAAAAGGTTTACATATTCCACAACGGAAGCTTCTTTATTAGCTGCTATACAGCTAGGATATTGCACCTTCAATGAAGAGGTCCCACACCAAAAGATATCTCGCTCTTGATGGTAAGTAATACTTGTACAAGTTCTATGGATGGAGTGAGTTAAGAACAACTAAGGAGATTAATTATGGGGTCCATTTATTCAGAAAAGACACATTGCTGTTATTAGAGTCTGGATGATATTTTTGGATAATTAAGTCCACGAAAAAAAATCTGAACAGAAATAGCAGCTCAAAAACTCCTTTATTGTGAAGTATATTCAAGCAATGTTTAGCCGCAGATAATGAAATACAATGGAAAACCGCATGGAGAGAGAGGAAAATGGAACATAACACACTATACATGGAAATAAAAGATCCAAGAGAGAATGAGATGCCCATATTAGAAAACCATTAGCAAACCTTATGAATAAACAGAATATTTAGATATATTTCAAACTAACTTGAGCAACATTAATATCAGATGCATTCAAAACCCCATATCTGAGTTTTATCTAAAACTTAAAAGATCCTGCATAACTTAGCAGGCCACTAAGAATACATTCATCTGGAAAATTGGATGCTGCTTTGGCAATAAACATTTAAAGGGAACATGAGAAAACACAAACATACTGTGAACAAGTTGGAAAACGACAAGACAGCTTTAACAAAGCAATCAAACACATTGCTCGTGTGGTAAGATCTGAGGTGTGGCGCTTAATAGCAATCTCTACAACATCCACAGCATCAGACTCTGTTACCTGCTAAGAATAACCAGATCAATTAAATATCCGGCTGAAAAAAAAGACATTGATGCAAAAAATAAAAAATAACCAGAAGTAACTAAAAGTTATAAACTGAAAGGTTTAAACAGATTTTGAGATAAAACAATCCCATTATCATGCTGCATATTATAGGATTCGTTAGAGAATATAAAATATTAAAGCTACACCCTCTTCAATAGCTTAAGCTTTTGGAGTAGATGGTAGTTAACATGGCATCAGAGCCAAAGGTCTCGAGTTCTTGCCGTCACCCTGATAATTAAAATTGAAAAACACGTGTTGGACCAAAAGAAGGCTACACATGAGGGGGGCGTGTTAGAGGATATAAAATATTAAAGTTACACCCTCTCCAACAGCTTAAAGTTTTGGAGTAGATGGTAGTTAACAGGATTATTTGGACATTTGAACAAAAGATCTGTCAACTAGAAGAGACTATTAAATCAACCCCAATTTTTGTCATACAATAAGGAGATGTCATTATGGACTAGGTACTGAGTGCTATAAGTTTCATTAAATTATCATCTAGAACCTATACGATAACACAAGAAAAAGCACAGGAGAAGAGATATTTCCAAAGTCTCTAAACCTATATGATTCCATTGGGAAGCTCATCATGATTAGATCGTGTCACTGAACACATCAAAAAGCTCACAACATTTTCCATAAGCACGAGTCCTCTTTACCCCTGGATAACCCACCCACTGAGCATCATGGGTTTCCTTTAACAACTCTCTACGCAGTCCCCCGCTAGAACTATAGAAAAACATATTGAAGAGACAAATATAAAAAAAGAACTGGCAAAAATTTCACATCAGCAAGAAATAAGACAAACATGGCAGAGGATGGGCTGGTAATCAGACAGACAGAGGGACCCAGCATTGAAGATGCCAGGCGTGAACATGTCCCATTTAAATTATTTAATCTATAACATAAAAAGTAAATAAAGGAAGATGAGGGAAGGGAGAAGGATGGAGGAAAAAGACCCTTTCCCTATTTATGGAAAAGAAGCAAGACAAAGTTTTCTATATACAGTCTCTTCATATAGTTAAATCAGGATTAAAGCTATCAGTGCTTCTTCAATGAGAGAATGCTTTTAAAGCAAGTAAGCTGACGAGGACTAATGTTTAATTTTAACAAGCACTCATCCGAGCTACGCCAACTTCCAGACAGAGCTGGATGGGGCAAAATCCAACCTAACCAAAATACTCTCTCTCTCTCTCTCTCTCTCTCTCTCTCTCTCTCCCTCCCTTGATCACACTCCATCCCCCCGTGTGCAAATGTCTGACAAAGGAAACTAAAAACCAGAATTTGGAGAGGGAGAAAGAGGAGAGCAACAAAGGAAAACTATAAGACCATATCTAAATAACAAGAACTAATATAGCACACCATAGTTAAAATAGGAAGCAAAAGACAAGAAGCAAGAAACCAATGAAAGGACAGCAAAACATTGTTTCTCAACTCACTTCAATGATGGAAAATTGGAGTAGTTCCAGGAAATGTTAGAGGAAAGCTAGGTACAAACTGCAGCTAGGCTCCCTCCTAACATGCTCCTATAACTACCAACATAGTACACTTGGGGGAAGAATAGAATTCCACAAGAAACTGTGTTACATGGACTTGGTACCAGAGCCAGCTATGAAAGCATGGTCATGCACAGTATCTATATATATATATATATATATATTGACAAGTAAAATTTCAGTAAAGGTGCTCAAGAGGGGAGCGCACCCAAAAGAACACAAAAAAAGACAAAGGTGGCTACCTATAATTTCACAAAATTAACCATTGATAGTATTAATGTGACTAACATGCAACCAGTGGCTTCACAATATATATATATATATATATTGACAAATAAAATTTCATTAAAGGCACTCAAGAGGGGAGCGCGCCTAAAAGAATACACAAAAAGCCGAAGGCGGCTAGCTATATTTTCCCAAAATTAACCATTATTTTTAAGAGTCTTTAGGTGTTTCCATATGTTGCACTCATCTGCTTTTGTCAACCTTGTGCCTCATCGACACGGAACTGAAAGTTCCAGGTCACATACACACAAACAGAATATCAGTCAATGCAAAATAAATAATTATGGAATTGTTAAACTCAATAGAATAGCCAATGCATATATATATATATATATATATATATATATTTGTGTAAATAAACCATTCTAGTAACTGACCTAGACAAAGACACTGACATATATTGTTATGACAAACAGCAGCGAACCCAAGCAACAATTACGAAACACGACAGAAAAATAGACACACCACACACAAAGAACAAAGAGATTTATACGTGGTTCGGGAAAGCCTACGTCCACGGTGGAGATCCAGCGGAAGTCTTCACTATGTGTAAAATCGGAGATTATAAGTTTCAGCCCCTCACTCTCTTTCTAGACAATTTTCAGTGTCTCTCATTCTTCCCACTTCAAACCCTAAACGCCCTTATATATCAGGCTACAAGAGAGTATTAATTAGAGTACACAACATCACTCATATATCGGGCACCAAATTCGGGCCACGCCATCACATATATATTGTTGTCTGGCACATCTTGGAGCGGAACGAGTGTAAATATGACTTGTGTGTGTTGGTGCACAAAATGTGTCAATCTGTTGGTGTGTCACATGGGAGTAAAATGTTGACCAAGGAGTTCCTGAGTTGATGTGCTCTTAAAATCTAATTAAATTATAGAACTAACAAGCAACTTACAAATAACAGTTGATCTCCACTTTCCAGTGCTAAAACTAAGACTTCTGGAATGTTAGACATTCAAATCAAATTTTGACTAAGGACGTAAACATTCACCGATTAATCACTATAGACTTTCAGAAAATACGTAAATCTCATGCAACCTTGGATTCATTCAGGGGAGAGAGAGAAGGGGGGGTTGTAAAATCTATAGATGCTTCATTAGCTTGAAATGTTGACGCAAAGTATAATGAAAAGATTACTCCGTCTGTCCCAAAATTCTAGTCCATTTTTCCATTTATGGATGTCCCAAAATTCATGTCCTATTTGAAAAGTCCATGTAGAAAGTTCGTATATTTTCCAGATATCCTTAACTTCTAAAAAATTTCCCAACCAACAATATGAACTTTTAAACTAAAATGGGTAGTTTTGGAATTTCAGGGGGGGGGGGGGGGGGGGGGGGGGGGGAGATTCGTGTCCCCTTAAAAGAGGAATCCCAAAAGCGGACAAGAATTTTGAGATGGAAGGAGATAATATTATTTATTTGTCACCATTTTTGGTCCACTTTCCTCGAGATGGTGTTTCATGATCCATACATGAGTACCCCGCGTATGAGAACACGACTGGATCAAACTCTCTCAATCAAAGAGGACCTCCTCAAGTTTTTTGTAATTTGATTTTTTTAAGGATAAAATCAACTTTAATGTTGTGGCCTGAATTTGGTGTCCGGTCGCAACTCCCTGCGACTCATTGATTGAGTCTTGTGTGGGCCTAAGCCCACCAAAGGCATAATTAAAGGAGAACTTTGTCTCTCAAATTTTGGTATGCTTTGGCAACCGTAGAATGCCCACATTTATAGGAGAAGTGGGAGACAAACAACACTATTCCTCTTTTCTTTTCTTTCTTTTCTTTTCTTTTCTTTTTTTTTCGACTATTTTGAGTGGATTTGATATAAATGGAATATATATCTTTCTTTTTTCTTTAGAAAGTGGGATATAAATGTCCATATATCTATATCCATTGTTTTTCTCCCGTAGCATTGCCAAAAGTAGGGAAACTTGGGAAGTGGTGTACTTAGGCTTTTACATATTTTGTCTTTTTGTAATAAATGGAATGCTGATTTGCGTTTCTTCAATTGTCTTCTATGGAGAAATTTCCGGAGCCTTGTTTCACTTGCACATTGTTTCTGACACACTTGCATGTGAAGGCCTGAAAATTTCTTCTTTTCTGACAGTTTTGTTCTTGTGATTAGTGTAGGGAAATCCAATAGCAGTTACCAATGTTCAGCAAGAATGTCATAAGCAAACTACAAGCTCTGGAAATTTCACGAAAGCTTTACACCTTTTCCCACTTACTTCTTCTATAAATGTGGGCATTCTACGGATATGCCAAAACATACCAAAATTTGAGAGAGAATTTTCAGCTTCTCGATAGCTTCTCTCTCTCAAGATTACACAAGTTTCCTTTCTCCCTCTTTCTCTTTCTCCACCATTTCCCACTAAGGAACCCAAAAACTTCTTTGCAAGTTTTTTATGTATTCAAGCTTTATTGTTTAAGCTTCAATTTGTATTAATCTTTTCAATTCAATACAAGATTAAACTTCTGATTTCAATATTAGTTTAATGTTTAAGATTTTTTTTTTTTTTTTGATAAGTAAAAATGTATAGAAAGCGTTCAAAGGGGAACGCGTCCCTAGAATACACAAAGGCCGAAACCAAAGCCAAAGCCAAAGCCAAAAAAAGGATCCTAAGGACCCACAGAGGCCAAGAAATCAACAATCTCCTCTATAGATGTAAAATATCTGCCCATACCCCAACAAAAAATGAACCTAATAATACGGAATTTCAAAGTTCCTATGGGAGACTCCTCCCCATCAAAAGATCTGTTATTTCACTCCTTCCAAATGCACCACCAAACACATAGAGGAGCTACCCTCCAAAAAAAGACAAGCGTGAGAACCTACCCCACACCCTCTCCAAGAGTCAATCAAACCTCTCGCCGTCCGGGGCATAACCCACAGCACTCCAAACAAGCCAAAAATCAAACTCCAGCAGTCGTGAGCCACAGGGCAATGCAACAACAAGTGATCCACTAACTCACCATCCTTTTTGCACATGCAAGTAGTATTATTATTATTGTTGTTGTTGTTGTTGTTGTTTAATATCTTAAATAGTTTGTTTTAATGGTTTAATATAGTTTTGTTATTATAGTTTTATTATTATTATTGTTTTGTTGTGCTTTTTATGTTAAGTTTAAGTAATGGTTTAACATGCTATAATTCTACTCCGAATGGTATCAAAGCCTAAAAGATCTAGGAATATACAGAGATTTAGTTTTAAGTTCTAAAGCTAGTGTCTGGTTATTAGTTTAAAGTAGTGTTTGGATTTTAATTCTTTACTAGTTTCTGGACAATAGTTGATCTAAAAAATAGTGTCTTGAAAGGCTAAGGATATTTAAAGAATTCTTCAAGTTATTATCTTAGTTTAAGCTATGTTTTTCAAAATTTAAGGTCACCAATAGATCAAACATTTGAACAGAAAAATGTGTTGGAAAACCATGAGCTTCGTGGGATGCATAGATTGCTCAAACACCACTTGTAACTGACTCCAGTGAGTTTCGATCGATAAATTGGTCGACTGAACTCGTCAGGCACACGCTCAAAGGCTAATGGAACAAGTTTGATCGCTGTCCTGATCAATTGAGCTCAAGTCAATTGAACAGGGCAGAATAGTTTTACAAACTATCAAACATCATCATCATCCTTGCCTCAATCCCTTATGAATGGGGTCGGCGGCGGCCAAATGGATTCTCTCTCCAATCTTTTCAAACTCTCAAAACATCAGAATTTTAATTTATTTTACTTTCCTAATTCACATAAGACACTTACATTGCTATAAATATGGGTTATAGTCTGCTTAGAGTATCTTTTTACACATAATTGAGAGTTCATATCTTTGTAGAGAGAGAGCTTTCCAAAAAATAGATTGGGATGAGCTCCCCTTTTGAGGGCTTTTCAATGAAATTTTCTTAATTATCAAATAAATAAATAAATAATGTAGGGTATTTATAGTACACCAGTATTTTATACAACACCATAAACTATGTAATTAAGAGATTCAAAACGAGGAGCTAATCAGAGAGTAATCTATAACCAATCAAGTGGTAATATTGTGAAGAACAATGATTTGAACAACCATGGAGAGCAAGCTTGTGGGTGATCAAGTTGTTGACAGGCAGCAACAGATTCGAAAGAGATCATCTGACATGAGTATGAGTACGAAGTAGAATATTCTGGGGCTAGAGTCTGCTAATTTAGTATTGTACGCATTTCTCCATGGATGGTTCAAGGGTCCCGTGGTTTCCCCCTTTCTAGGATTTTTCATGTAAAACTTGTCTTTTTGATTTACAAATTTTATAAGATCGTGATTTTGATCGACACATGAATAGCGAAATAAACGGAAAATCAGACGAAAAGTAAATTCTCAGAAAATGTATCCATAAGACCTATTCCCCCGTCTAGGTCTGAATTGAGCCGTGGAAACTATGACATATCTGGGCCTATGGTGCTGGTCCGTTCTCACTTCTCACAAATGCTATCAATTTCATACCATATGCCTATTATCTCAGTCATTTAAAAGAATTGCTAAACCCACTGTCTCCTAAAACGCAGTTCATTTCAACATATGAGACGGTAACTGCAACCATTTATGCCCCAACGGTGAGACACAGAGCAGGATAGCGTCCATTTTCAAAATAACAGTATAGACGAGTGACTCGAGTATCTTAATACGATATTTAAGAGCATATAAGGTAGAGAGAACATAAGAAAAATGGAAAGGTCAAACATATTCATGTTCCTTGGTTGGAAATAAGGCCTACTTTGGTATGCAGAAATGAAATGGAATGGAATGGTCATTCTCATTCTATTGTTTGGTTGCAAATATGAAATGATATAGGAATGAAATGATAATCACCATTCTAAATGGCGGCGGAGGGCGGCGGCGGGGGTGGCAACGACGGCGGCAGTGGTGGCTGCGGAAGGCGGGGGTGGCGACGGAAAGTAGTTGCAACGGCAGTGGTGGTGGCAGGCGAAGGTGGAGGGCAGTGGCGGAAGGCGGTGACAGTGGTGGTAGTGGTGGTGGAAGGCGGTGACCAAGAATTTCATTCCATCAGTTTAGATGTGAAATGGATTTTCATTTCAAGGGAATGGTTGGAATGGAATGCCCATTCCATTCCTGCATACCAAACTAGGCCTAAGAATAATGATCCTTCAATGGTTATCCTGATCTATGTTACATGGACTCTTCAAAAGTAGTGAAGTACCCGTGTCGGACACGTTTTGCTTGGACATGGTTATAGGCTATGTGTCCGACACTTTTGGTTGGACATATACCTAAAAAGCATATCCAATCATTCAATTATATTGTATTATTACTTTAAAATGAGTTAAAAATCTATATTGAACACTATATTAGATAAAAACGATAAAAACATTATTGTACTGTAGAAATAAAATAAACTAACTAAATAAAATGATTATTTAACAGTGTCCACGTGTCCTTCGGTTTAGAGCTTTGACACGTCCGACGCATGGATACATACCCGTACCCGAGTCCATGTAACATAAATCCTGATATAAATGCCTTATTTATGCTGATTTAGGTCCTGCTACCTTATTCTTTTATACCTTGATGTACACTGTAAATAAAGCAACTTTGTAAAACTATGCACCACCTCTACTACTCCCAGCCCCCAAAAACCTCAGGTTAACAAATTGGGCATATGTTTTCATGTTATGCCCACACAATCAGCAAATCAGACCCAACCTGTCACCCGATGTAACAAATAGGTATCCTAGGATACCACATAATGTAAAATCGGGCATGGTAGAGTAGGTTCATATAGAGTATATGGTTTGGAAAAAGGCATGTTGAATGTCAAAAATGATTATGTATTCATGAAGGAACAACTAATGGAACACTAAAATGCACAATTTGTCAATACTTTTGGAATTTTGTTGTATCTGTTCTGAATTGGATTATGTTAAATCATAGGATTTATCAATGTGCTATGGCCCTTTCCTCAAATTTATTTTCTACAAGACTATATATATATATATATATATATATATATATTTTTTTTTTTGATAAGTATTTTCTACAAGACTATCTGATTATATCTAAACTTGCTAATTTTATGTTCTCTTCTTATTATATGAAAAAGAAAAAAAGGAGATTAAGGAAAATAATTCTAGATTGTGAAGTTAAGTGTTCACCAATGATGGTTTACTATAGGGGGAACCCTTTTATAGTAACTCCGGCTAATTGTTTTTTCTTAATGTACACTGTGACTATGTTACATGAACTCAAATATGTGTATTATGTGCAGTTTTGTGTTTAGGTGTCAGACCACCCTGAACCCAAATCTCATGATATGGAGACTCCACTTGAAGTGTGTCTAAAAGTTGTGTCTTATTTATCCGCAAACATAGACATTAAAATACATTATATGTTGTATAGAAATTATAATATATGATATTCTTGTAATTAAGGATATATGTAATTAGATTTTGATGAATAACTGGATTTCCATCTTTCCTTCCATATAAGAAGTAGGAAATCTTTCTTTAATATCAAATTTGATCTTTGTCTTCTTGCAATATCAATGCATGTAGAGGATTGGTGTGGTGAGTTAGAATCACAACCCATACCCATACCAATGTGGAATCCAGTTGATATGAGTACCTTGGGGGAACAAGACATTCTATATAATAGAGCATGGTGATAAATCTCTAACAATTGAAAACTTCATATAGCATATCCATATTCCCAATTTGCTATCGCATAGCTCACCACTGGTGCAATTTAAAATCAACCACAAATTCAAATGTCAAAAAGTATGGAAAAGGGTGAACTTACAGTAATTGGTTCCTCTATATCAAGCATTCCGACATTACTGACCAACATTTCTCCATATTCTCCAATGCACCAAACTGCCACTCGAACAAGACTTTCCTGATGAAGATATATAAGGATAAAATAAAAATATAGTGTAATAGGGTGTGTATATATGACAACACATTTAATCATTCAAAATAATGTGATAATCATATCAGACTTATCTTTCAAAGAAAAAAAATTAAGTACCTGTTCACCTGATGTTTGAACAGCTCTGTATAGGGACCGTACTGTATATCCATGGAGGTTAGAAGCATTGCTAATAACAACAATAAGGGCGTGCCAAACTTCATCCTTCACAAAATTTCCAGCCTACAAATCAAGATAGAAGGCACAGAGGTGACATGATGGAGTACAACATTATAGTTGAAGGCTGTAGTATCTGGTAGGAATGTAGGATGGGGACAAAGGGAGGGGACCAATGCTTTTAACTCAATATAACTGGGTTACATATCACAAGCACTGAACATCAAAGACAAGCAGAAAAAATACAGCCTAAATCAATAAGTTAGACAACCTGCAATATTAACGCATACCTCAGAGAGAACCTTGAGCATCTGATCAATGTACCAAATTTTCTCTTGGGAAAACCTACACTAAGAGACAATATTGTTAAGAGGCTAAACATTACAACAGACATGAAAGCCAAAAGATGATTTCAATCTATTTTAATGGTTTCATTTTCAACCAATCATATCACAAAGCCTTAGTTAGGCAAAAATAATAACAGATTTGGGGAATGGGAGCAAAACATGGGAACAAAACATAACTAGAAACATAGGCCCTGTTCGGTATGTGTTCTGTTCTGTTTTGTTTTGTTCTAGGCCTGCTACAGTACCCTTGTTTTGGCCCAAATCATGTTTGTCTAGACTTGTTTTATTCCCAACAGTATCAGAACAAATCCATTATTTGGCCAAAAAGCTGAAACAAAAATTGTGTTTTATGTTGTTCCAGGCCCATTTTTTACTGTAGTGGGGGTAATAATAAATTTTTTTAGGGCAAATCATTTCAGCCTCGCAATCGCCTCCATCTCTATTCCCGTTCTCAACTCTGGAACTTGCCCCCTCTCTCTCTCTGCAACTGCAAACTACAAAATCTACAAGAATCAGAAGTTCGAAACCCGCCTCCATCTCTATTCTCGTTCTCAACTCTGAACTTGCCCTCTCTCTCTCTCTCTGCCTTTGCAAACTACAAAATCTACAAGAATCAGAAGTTCAAAACCCATATATTTCAGTTTATCTATCTGTCTGCAAGAATCAAAAGTTCAAAACCTATTACCTATTTCAAAACCCATAACGGCATATCATTTCAGATTCTTCAAAAAATCAAAACACATTTATGTCGTTTGATTTACCATCGGAGTGAGCCTCGCAGCCTGTATCATGAGGGATATCGATGCCGCCGATGATGAGGGGTTTCCAGGTTCCAATCTGTGGAGGTCGAAGCCGTGGCCGACCCGGAAAGGCAGGGACTTGGAAGGAGTGGCGGCGGTGGTTTGCGGCTCTACTTCTATGGTGGCAGTGGTGGCGAATGCCGTAATCGGAGATGATCTGGGTGTTGCTCGGAGAGATAGAGGAGGCGATGAGAGGAGAGTGAGATGGGTGCGAGGAAAGAGTGGAGGAGGAGAGAGAGAGAGATTGGGTTCGTGGATGTTTGGATGTTTTGATCCTCGCCAAACATGTTTTGTTCTCATTTTAGAACAAAACATGACAAAACACTTGTTCTGTTGTAGACTAAAACAAAACACAATGCATACCAAACGGGCCCATAGTAACAAACTCCTAGGGAGTATTAAATTAAGTTCCTTGGATGGGGTATCAGCTGTGGGAGTACCCTACAAAATGCTCCCCCCTCTTTCTCGAACATCAACCCACCCACCCAAAAATAAATAAACAAACTGCTTTAAGTGGAGGATGCCTCCAGAACAATAGTTTTTCCTCATCGATCAAGGGAACAACCACAATGTTACGCCTCAAAATCAAAATATATGTAGCCTCTTCCAAATGACCTATAATGTAGTATATACTACATTAGCCATGAAAGAGTGTAGCAGACTGCATTTGCCGCTGGAGGTGAGTGGATGAGGGATAAAAAACTAGAAAGATATAGCTTATAAAAGGTGCTTGTTCATAAATTCACCTGACAATTGTTCGTCTTGTTACACTGCACAACACAACTCCAAAGTGAGGATTGAGTGTTGGTAGTTCAAGTGAAAATTTATTAGACAGTCAAACCAAGATGGCGGGGAAAGTAACTTTTGAGACCTGCTATTACCTCGGTAATGACCTAATGAGAGAGGTCTATAATACTTGTCAAAAAAAATAAATAAATGACCTAATGAGAGAGAGAGATGATGCAAAAGCAACCGATTAGCAAGGAGAGGTCATATAGACTTACCTCCGCTGACTAGGTTTATATGAACTGAAAGCCACAGACATAGCATAGTAAGGTAGCGCCGTTACCAGGGAAGGTTGTTTCAAGGTAATCCTACTACACCCAAATCGCATAATTGGCACACTTGCTATATCCACTAACGCTTCATCCTACTTCTTATTACCAACTATACCTGATATAAAGTATTCTATAACAATTCAAGACAGCAAGAAAGCATAAAAAGATAGTGATCGGTTTGGAAGCATCAAGGGGGAGAAGGAAGGTAAACCTATGACACTGGGTAGATAAACTGTTTCTCCCACCTCAGTTTCAAGATGGGAGGCGGGCGACAGCTGAACTGAAACACTCTATTCTTTTTCCCAACTTTTTCTCCAGCTAAAGATGAGCTGGAGGAAACTGTAGTCTGTTTGGCTTATAGTTTCAACTGTATCCCACAGACCAGGGTTCGAAACTTAGAGAGAGAGAGAGATCAATGTGTGAGTGAGTGTGTGTGTGTGTTGGGTGTTGGGTTGGGGGGGGAGGTACACTCTCTGTCTAGGATTTCTGTGGCATGAGTTAAGCATATAGTTGGGGTGTTCTTTCTTTTAATTGCGAGTCAATACTTTCAGAGCATCTCTTTGTAAACATGAAAAACAACAATCTCCCTACTCTACAGGGCAGTGAAGTGAACAATTGTAACGGGTGGGCGCTTGCCCATTTACCCAAAAGCTCAAATTATTGGGTAGTGCTGCATACCTACCCATTTATACCCAATCACTTTCCCATCCGTATCTAATATGGGACAAATGACCCCTTATAACATTCTCCCCCACCTGAACTCGCAGCACCCTCGTTGCGGTCGGGCCACCCTGCCTACCAGGGGTGGCTCACCCGGATGCCTTTCGAGCCGGGCGCTTGGCGTGGCATTAAGGAGTGGTCTGGCTCTGATACCAACTGTAACGGGTGAACGCTTGCCCATTTACTCAAAAATTCAAGTTGTTGGGTAGTGCTGCATACCCACCCATTTATACCCAATTACTTTCCCATTCGGATCCGATGTGGGACAAATGGCCCCTTGTCACAACAATCCTTTACTCCAGCTTCAGAGGAGCATACTAAGTCCTTAGTCAAATGACCTTCAATTTAGGAGATTAAAGCATAAGAACTTTGTACAGCAAAGAAAGGTTCCACCATAAATCCCAAATATTTCTGATTGTGTTTAAGATATTTCTAGTTAGAACTTGATTAAGGGGCTTGCCATTTTTAGCTGCATTACAATGACGCGTAAACAGTGGATCCCGCTTGGTAGGGATGAACAACCTTCCCTGGAAAAGAATAGAGAAAAGCCATGTCAGTTGGAAAGAAACTGGTTGCTTGCTTACTTTTAGAGGGATCACTTTGGTAAGCAATTATCTAATTACATAGGCATGGATGGTTGCTTGACAAGGATTAGCTTCTCCCTCAGTGTCTTTCCACTTCCATCATTCAGGAACTAACACTTTGCCAAATTCTTTTAAAACCCAGCCTGGTACTTCCCCACTAAGTAATTGTGTTACAACCACACAACTATGAGCTAACATTGCGCCTTTCACGAGACTATGAGCTAACATTGAGTCTTTCTTGGCGTCACCATGTTTTTTTTTTTTTTGATAAGTAAAAACATATTAGAAAAACGTTCAAAAGGGGAACGCGTCCCTAATACTAGAAGAAAAAAGATCTAAGGACCAATAGAATCCAAGAGATCAAAGAAATCATCAATCGAGGAGCATGCATTTCCTCTTACATAGCAGAACAAAGAACGAAGAATATGAATTTTTAAATTAGCTAAAGACGATTCTTTTCCTTCAAAGGATCTGCTATTTCTCTCACGCCACAAACACCACTAGACACCGTGTGGAACAATCCTCCAATAATCACGAGCTTGTTCTTTAACAGGACACCTTTTCCAAGCGTTAATCAATTGTGAGGAGTGCTTAGGCATTACCCAAAAAATGCCAAACATGCAAAAAATAAAGCTCCAACAATTATACGCCACAGGACAATGAAAAAGAATATGATCCACGGATTCACTATCAGCTTTACATAACACCAATTAACAATGATGTTGCCTCTCTTTCTCAAATTGTCCAATGTCAAAATCTTTCCCAAACGAAGAATGTGTTTCAAATAGGAGCTTTAGAACGCCAAACAGACTTCCAAGGAAACTCGTGACCAACGAAATTGGACAAACACAAGAACATGGATCGGACACCATACCTACCATGAGCTAAAGGAACCCACAAAATATCATCACACCCTTTGCCAATATCCTTCTGCCTATACAACATATCCATAAAAACACAAGCTTCCTCCATTTCCCAATCCTGAAAGGGGCGCCTAAACCGCACATCCCACGTAACTCCATTGTTATCAAGTTGATAACAATCAATCACGTAGACATGCTTATTGGCTGCAATACTGTAAAGTCTAGGAAAGGAGTGAGACAACAACTGATCTCTACACCAAAGGTCCTCCCAAAAACGAACATGTCTGCCATCACGAGCTTTGAATCTAATGTGTGTGGAGAAAACATCCCAGCCCTTTCGAATGAATTTCCACACACCAACGCCTCCCATAATAGTGACTGGAAGAGATGACCAGCCCCCACTCTCCTCACCAAAACGACACGAGACAACTCTTCTCCACTGACGATGGCGTTCCTTTCCAAATCTCCATAACCACTTTCCCAAGAGAGCACGATTAAAAGGAACGATTTTTCAAAATGCCTAACCTCAACGGTTGCCAGACATGATCCCAATTAACAAGATGATACTTAAACTCGTCTCCCCTTCCACCCCAGAGAAAATCCCTCTGAATTTTTTCAATCCTTTCAGCAACAGAGCATGGAATTTGAAACAAAGATAAAAAGTAGGTAGGAAGGGATGAGAGAGTACTCTTAATAAGTGTGACTTTCCCCCCTTTAGATAGATACTGCTTTTCCATCCTGCTAATCTTTTCTCATATCTACTAATCACTGGATCCCAATTCCCAACTCGTGTAGAAGAAACTCCCAAAGGCAATCCTAAGTAAGGAAGAGGAAAAGCACCAACTCCACACCCTAGGACAGCAGCTAAGGAGGAAATATCTGAAACATCCCCCACTAGGACAAGCACACTCTTTCCAACATTAATCTTTAACCCAGAAACCGCTTGGAAGCAAGCAAAAATGCACCTCAGATATCTAAGTTGAGAAACTTCAGCATCACAAAAAACCAAAGTATCATCCGCGAACAACAAATGGGAGATCTGCATCTGATGTTCAATATCTCTGCCAACACTGAACCCCCTGATGTAACCCAAATCTTCCGTTTTTCTCATTAATCTGCTCAGACCTTCTATGATAATAAGGAAAAGAAAAGACGATAATGGGTCTCCTTGTCACAGACCACGCGAGCTAGTAAAAAAAACCCACAGGTGAACCATTCACGAGCGCAGAAAACATAACTGACGAGATACAAGTTTCAATCCATTTTATCCACCTATCACCAAACCCCATCCTCCTAAGCAGATACAGAACAAATTTCCAATTAACATGATCATAAGCTTTCTCGATATCAAGCTTACACAAAACGCCAGGAACCCCACTTTTTAATCTAGAGTCAACACATTCCCCTGCAATAAAAACAGAATCCAAAATCTGCCTCCCGCCAACAAAAGCATTCTGTGATTCTGAAATGAGACCATCCAAAACCTTACTCATCCTGGAGACGAGAACCTTGGCAATAAGCTTATACAAACATCCAATTAAGCTAATTGGCCGAAAGTCCTTAATATCAGAGGCACCGCCCTTCTTGGGAATGAGAGCAATGAAAGATGCGTTTAGTGATTTCTCAAATGTGCCATGAGAATAAAAATCCTGAAAGGTGCCCATCACCTCAGCTCGCACCACCTCCCAAATGTGCTTGAATGAGAACTCTGAGTGCATCATCACACCCTTGAAAAAAGGTTTAACCAAGTGTCGAAAACAAGACATTGTGTTCCCCTTCTGCTCCGCTTTTGGCATTAATAAAGGCCATAAATACATATAGGACTCCCAGCCATAAAAAAAATTGTGCCCTCACCCCAGGGAGGTTTGATGTCCGCTCTTTCTATAGGCATCGTTTAGATTCTCCGGGACCTACCTTCCCGTGTAAGGCCATATGGAGTACCAAGGCTCCTCTTAAGATGGCCTTTTTTTGTTCGGAACGACAATTCTGGGGAGGATTCTGACGTTATATGAACTGAGGAGGAAGAGACAGGTTATTATCAAATGGTGCTGCATGTGCAAGAGAAATGAAGAGTTGTTAGATCATGTTCTTCTGCATTGCCCAGTGGCCTGGGAAAGAGGGAGCAGGAGCTCTGATCGCACGGTGCAAGAGAGCACCCGGCCCGGAGACCCGGGTCCTTCTTATGAGAGGCTCCTCCTCTGGATCGACTTCACCCTTTGGACAAGTATGATGCCCTTTATTTTTTTTTCAAAAAAAAAAAAAAAGGAAAAAAATCCCAATATCAGCGTGCACTGGTTTTCGGAGTTTGGAGTAGATTTGTTTTTTTTAGATCTGTTTGGCAACCATTAAAATGTCCCTACTGGAAAATATGCTGGGAATTGCTTTTGGGTCTGTTCAGGGTCCAGTGGATCATGCCTCATTCCTCGAGAGGCATGACAGAGGCTAGGAGAGATTCTCCAGTGGGCTCCCAAGTCCATGACTTCTGGATGGTATCGCTCTTGTGTGTTTGGTGGTGCTTGTGGAGAAGACGAAATAGGATATCCTTTGACGGCGAGGAGACTCCTATTGGGGCATTGAAATTCTCTTTGTTGTTGGGTCTTCGGGAGGAATAGTAAATCTTTGGGGGGAAGAGAGTTGATTTTTTGCCTATATTGAGAGTTAAGGGGCCCTATTTGGTCCTTGTGTAGCTTTTGTGGGATGCATTCCCCTTTTGAACGCCTTCTAACGATATCTTACTTATTTGGGGAAAAATAAAAGAGTAAGATATGGCATAAACCACAACTTCATAATTAATACCTCGATGCATTATGGTGTAACAGGCTCCTTCCTTTTCAATAAAGATTTATGGGTGTTGCTTTATTCCCCAATCAGATGTTTTCATGTAAGCTACATACCCTAAGGAGCCAAATGGAAGCCCCAAAACCAACAAAAAGCAAACACCTACTCCTAACAAGATTAATATGCAGCAAGCTCTGCAACAAAAGTGAAGTAACAACACTGTTAGTGAACATCAGGCTTACAACTGGCTTCAAATCAAAGCTTGGCCAATCAGGGTGCGCTTGGTCACCACTAATAACACGAGAAGGATAATCAAAGCTGGAGGGATGCCCTTGCCCAAGAGTTATTTTGTGTTCCGGGGAGAAGGGGTATTATGTTAGGTGGGGGACACTTGGGAAGAATGGAGGGAACAAAACTCCTATTGAAGAAAAGGCATAATAATGGGAACCACGGGAATGATAATTGTTGCTGAAGTCATCCACCATTTTTCTAACCAGGGAAAGATATCAGTCGAATGCCAAGTTATATTCTTATCGGAAGTGGCCCTATGTGCTAGAATGACTTATACATCTAGAAAGATATATACATTATACACTTAAGTTCATAACCATTCTCCTATTACTCATATCATAGAAAATTCCAAAATATTTAAATGGCAACTTTACTGCTTACTTTTCAACGATAGAGCAAATTTTGGCGGTAAGATCTCCCTTGAATTCCTGGTCGCTTACTTCCAGATATTCAATTAGCTCTTTTGTCAAAGCCTTTGCATTGCTTTCATTCACAAGAAGATATACAAGCTCAAGGGCCCTTTTACGAATTGAAGCATCTGAATCCTGAAAAATAAAAAAGCAAGTCATCAGCTTCTCATTTGTAAATTAGAAAACGAGGCTCTTGTTGATAATAATGCAACAGAGATAAGTATACAGGGAATGTGATTTCAAAAAGTGAAGTGAGAACTGAAGACAAGAACCCAAGAAAACTAATGTAAGCAAAATATTATTTCTGCTCTAAGCCCTTCCACCCACCCACCAAAAACAAAAGGAAATGATAAAATTAGCCAAAGCAATCCCGAGGGAGATATTACAATTTACTAATCAAAGCCCTGAATCATAGAGTGCCGGACAATCATGTGGAGAAGAAAGATTTATTAATGTTAACATATATTTCAGCCATAGAAAGAACAAGAAAAATAAGTAAAACCAAACCCGCCCAAACAATACCTTCACGCATTCCAAGATTGTTGCCCTGTGCCTCTGCACTGCTTGTGCATCTACTGTAATAGCTTTCATCAGCATGTTCAATGCAACATATCTGATGGAAAAGGTAATGTTAATATTTACAAGACACAAGCAAACAGCCTGTTTGGAATAGTGAATATTTACAAGACACACGCAAACATCTAAACAATTGAAAATATGGAATGTAAGGATTAAAGTAGCAAAAATTATAATTTTGTGATCGAAGTAAAAGAAAATTACATATTGTGCACGGACAATGTACTATTGTAATGATGCAGATGATATCAATGGTCACTTTTATTGCTTTACAGTAACCACGGTCAATAGGACAAAAAATGTTTTTAGGTTTAGTCATTAAATTATAATTTTCTTATTTAAGTAACTAAAGGTATCAAAGTACAAGGGGCTATGATATACATTTCAGGTTCTAAAATAAATTAAATTAAATTAAAATAAAAACAAAGCAAAATATACATATGTCGTTGTGGTTCACAATATACATGCAATACTGATTACATAAGAGGCACTAAAACGTTTTTTGCTGAGAATTCCTATGCACTGGCGTAGGCAAACTTACACCATGTTCAGCACTAAAGCTATTTTACAAAATCAAAGGCACCAAAACTCGCTTTTCTCTCAAACAAAAACTCCTCACACATAACTCTTGAAGTTGAATCCATTGGTCAAGATGAACTTTATGATCATTATCTCAGTCATGTTTACTTTACCTTGACAAAGAAGGGCTATGGTTTACTGATATTGCATGTAGGGCTCGCTATTAATATTAAATATCATTTACCTGTCACTAAGGGATTGCGGTAAGTCAAGATTAACTATTGAGATTATTACTAGATTCCTATAACTGAATATTTACTTCTGAAATAAATGCTCTCCACATCTCATTCTTCTCAGTAAAAGATGAGCATAGCAAGGCCAATGCAGAGGCCAGCTGGTATTTCGACGACCAGACCACACAAAAAATTCTCTCAACTGTGAGTTAATCTCGACTGTAATTAGCTCAATTATGTGTAATTAGAAAACATACATAATTAAATTACAGTGTCTTGGCAAAATAACAAGACCCCAAATGTGAAATCTGCTGCAAAAGCAAAAGTATAGGATCACAAAACACTGTCATTACTCTAAAAATAATAATTGGAGATACAGCTAACCAACAAGTTCAAGGTAAACATGAACATACGGATATTTAACCAATCCATATACTTTAAAGCATGCTTGGGCATCAGAATATCCTAAGATGCAGCCATGCCCGGCTCAGTGCCTTGCCTAGGTTGAGGTGAGGCACTTTCAAGCAGGTATGAAACTAAGCGCCAGGCATGCATGCCTAAGCACAAGGCTCCCAAGAGGCACGCCTCTGTTAACTGTTTATTAGTTTAACAATTGGATCTTTAGTGAGCCATTTATTCTCAACTATGGGCAACTCGGTGCGCTACTACACACCTTAGCAAACTTTTCATTGTTTGGACTAAAGAACAACACAACAGCTTATCTCCCTATACCAAACAATACAATAAAGAAGAGGATAAGAAGAAATATGAATGTCCGAGGAAAAAAAAGGTTGAGACGATGACTGTTTGACTGACCTCTCTCTCTCTCTCTCTCTCTCTCTCTCTCTCTCTCTCTCTCTGTGTGTTATTTTTTTTGGTGGGTAGTAGGGAGAAATTATAGATCTTTAGAGGAGATTGTAAATTTTTTGGACCCTTTGAAAGTTTAGAGGCCCTATTTGGCCTTGTGTAGTTCTCTTGGGATGCGCTCCCCTTTTGAGCGCTTTTATACAATTTTACTTATCAAAAAAAAAAAAAATCAAAGCCACAAGATATTGATTGCTCTGCTTTCTTCCTTTCCTTAACAAAGTCAAAACTCTCTCTCTCTCTCTCTATTTTCTTCTTTTTCTGAAAAAAGCCCTCTCATTTTCCCTGATCAAAACCCTAAGCTGTTGTGCACTTTTTTCTTTTTCTGGACTGAGACTGGCTTTCTTTGCTGCTTTGTCCCCCCCCTTCTTTCCTTCTCCAATTTTTTTGTTCCTCTTCCACCTATTTTGCTTCAATTCCATGTTATTTTTGCTGCAATTTGCCAATTACACTTTGTTCATTTAGTTTTTACTTGGTCTGTCATATTTTGGTGTTCAATTAACTTGATGTGGCTTGTAATAAAGTACTCTTTTTGTGGTTCATGCTTTCCTGCTCATTTATTAAATAATTTCAACAGTAAGTTGGCCTTTTTTCCTTTTTCTTAAAATGCCTCGTGCATATAATTACTGAATTTTACTGGATTAGGTTTTCAATCAAGCATTTTGGAACTTTTGTATATATACATGTGATTTATTTGATATCTCATGTTCTTGATTCTTAAAGATTGTTAATCTTGTGATTACATATAACATGAATTCTAAAAATTTAGAAGACAAACAACATTCTAAGGTAGAATGCAATGTTATTTGCGGTATGCGAATGTGCTACACAACATGTGACTTATTTCACTCAAGTTACAGTGCTATCTTGCACCTTGTGCCTAGTCTCCAGGAGACCTTGGTGCCTTATTGTGCCTTTTGCATTCATATGAACAATACCTTTCCGATTAATTATACAATGTTGTTGTTGGTAGCTATACATAATTAAAGCATACTGTCTTGGAAAAAATAATAAGACCTTAAACATGAAATTTAACCAAAAAACAGGTATAGGATCAGGAATCGGTCATCGCATTAAAGAAAGCAGTTACAGATAATCACTAACCAATAAATTCAAGGTAAAACAAAATTTTGGATGTAAAAATAATTTAACAGATCACTAATATAGATCCTTCTTGCGTTCGGGCAAACAATACCTTCACATCGATAATACAATTTAGTTTCTCAAAGACAAAATCAACCAACCACAACAATCATTCTCAATGAATACAAAGTTACCTGATATTATTGTCACGGTTTGACAGGAATCTTCCCAAAATATTTATAGCAAGCACCCGCAAGCCACTATTATCTTCAATGCTCATAATGGTTTCAACACATTCATAAAGAATCGCGTTGCCCGCATTTTTGTTTGACTCAGTTTTTGTTGCAACCTAGAATTGGAATGCAGCATGATGCAGTAAACGTAAGTGAACTTTGCTATATGTACAGAGAATTTTCTTTAAATATTAACATCCAAAATTTTCGAGTGTTGATAATCCATCAATAAAAAGTTCATGGCCAATTAAAATGAATGTACTAATCCACTTTGACATTGACGAGAGAAACAAAATCAAGAATGCCAAGTATTTTATGATTAAAGAATAAAATATCAGATCAGAAGAAGATTATTCAAATATCATAGTGATCAAAAAACATGTGTAAGCTAAGGCGCATTTTTGCATGTACCAAGAACTCACATTCGTGCATTACCATCTATTCCAATCAAGTCTGACTATGTAGCTTATTTGCACAAGGGATAAGGTGCCCAAAGAAACCCTAACTAAACACTGGCATGGTTTTTTTTTATAAGTAAAGATGTATTAGAAAGGTGCATTATCGAGTCCGACTATGTAGCTTATTTGCACAAGGGATAAGGTGCCCAAAGAAACCCTAACTAAACACTGGCATGGATTTTTTTTTTTTTATAAGTAAAGATGTATTAGAAAGTGTTCAAAAGGAGAATGCATCCCGAAGATTACACAAAGGAGGGCCAAAGAAAAAGGTCCTATGGGGCCAAGGAACCCAAAAAATCAACAAACTCCTCTATAGAATTACAATTTCACCACATCACCCAACTAAAAAGAGAGCCAATAAATAGAAATTTCAAAGCCCCAATGGAGGATTCCTCCCCATCAAAAGATCTTCTATTCCGCTCCTTCCAAACGCATAAGAATTCCTCCTAAAGTTTGACGGGGTTAATTTTGACTGATGCCACAGACAGGAAGTGTGCAACAACATGTTACCCTTCAGGGCTAGTTTGGTGCGGTGGAATGGAATACAAAGAAAGTGGAATGGAATGGTTTTTATTCCATTCTTGTGTTTGGTGTCCAATTTTAAACTTGGAATCGTCATTCTCCAACATTCTTGGAGAATGATCATTCCATCAAAATCATTCCACCTTTTCACAAAAGGAATGACCATTCCATTCCTACTTTAAAAAAAATACAAAGTAAAAAAATATTAAAAAATAAAACCTAACAAATTACAAACCCACCGCCGGCGTCATCATCTCCTCCATCAAACCCACCGCCGGCGTCATCATCTCCTCTATCAAACCCAACCCAACCCATTGTCTAACAAACATAATATTGATCTTGAACTTCAAAGTGATGGACCAAGACACAATAAAAAATCAAAAGTAGATCTGAGTGAAGCAAACAGTGAACAAGGCCCAAAAGCAAGCTTTTTCGTGATTCTCTCATTGATTTTGTGAAAGAATTGCTGAAACCATTCTTTCCAAATCGGATCCGTCCTCACCCTTGTTCGATCGTACTGAAGTTTGTAAATCGGATCACCATTCTTTACAAATCGGATCTTTCCAAAAGCACTGAAGTTTGTAATGGAGCTTGGATCACCGCTGTTCGTTGCCGCCTATCAAATCGGATCCGTTAGTTTCTTTCTTCTCTCTACTTTCTCTCTCTATCTATTGCCCACAATTTCATTCTTACATACCTCTTTCTAACCACTGGATTGGAAAAAATTTGATGTTAATTTTTTAGTTAATTTTTTTTAATTAATGATAAAGGTAATTTGGAGAAAACATGATAAAGGTAAAACAATATAAATTCATTCCATTTTAATTTTTAGTCCAACCAAACAAGTAAATGGAAATTATCATTTTATTTTTTTACATTCCATTCCATGTTTGCAACCAAACATGGAATGGGAATCATCATTCCCACTCCGTACCATTCCCATTCCATTCCCACCTCCATTCCCATTCCATTCCAATTCATTCCACCACACCAAACTAGCCCTTAGTCTATTAAAGCCAGATTAACATTAAAATTTTCTATATTTTCTTTTTTTAAATGCCAAATGTTCTTTCTGATTGACTTCTAATTACGAGAATGGGTATGATAGATGTGCCAAAGTGGAAAACTCTAAAATACAAGGAAACTGAACAGACATGTTAAAGGCACAACAATATATGAATATATAGTTATAGTATATGTGTTTTGTGCACGACAAATATATTACGATCAATTAGATTCAGATTTCTAGAAAAAACAATTGCACAACTTGGAAGGCAAATCTCAGCAAGTCGATATATATACAGTATTCAAATTTCTTTTGGAAAAACTTTTAGACATGAATCTAGGATTGTCAGAGGTAAGATACAAATCAATGGGTAGGCGTGGCAGATTTTCCTTTAATCTGCAGAGTGGAAGGATCAAAACAGAATCCACGGAATTCGTGCTTTCACTTGGTCAAGTGTGGGATATGAAAATGGATCTATTTATTTACTCGTTAGTTAGTTAACAATGGAATAGTTATGCAAAAGTTTGGACTCAAACCCCCATCCAGGAGGTTATCTTCATTGTTAGCTAACTCACCTGCTCTTTGTTTCATTTAATAGAAAACTTCTTTTTTTTATCAGTAACACCACAGCCACCACCATCTGTTACATTTGCCATCAACTCACCAGCCTGGAAGCTTCATCATCAATGTTCAAGAAAACTCTAGGGTTAGATAGGGGTGAAAAAAAGCATCTTATTTTTCTCCCAGCTTAGGAGTTAAGACTAATTGGCTTCACAGAAGCTATGTAAAGTCCACGATATCTCTCAGTCAAATTCAGAGTTAGAGAGGTCAGAGCTGGGCATGTGTGAAGAACTTCGCCTCTCAAATAAGATGGAGAAGGAATCAGACTCCCAAACTTCGTGAATCCGATACTTCTTCCCCCCACACCCCAGCCCCGCAAAACCTCCCAAACAAGAAACGGTCATTCCAAAAGACCATGATGACAAAGATGAACATTTATGGAGCTGTTGTGCAATGACAGGAGAGAGAGGAGGAAAAGGGGAGTGAGGCGGGAAAGAGAAATAGTATCTAGATGTTATGCACGTGCTTGGAGACCAAAATGGTCAAGTATGAAAATTACAAGACCGTGATGTGAGTGCCACATGCCAACTGTACATTAAAGAAGCGAGTCTAAGCAACAAGTTACTTTGGCAGGGAATATCTTCTGTTAGCTAAACAAACGAAATTTAGCTATGAAGTTAATTCCAGGGATAAAATAATTGTTTATACCCTTCTTTTTAATTTCACACCGTTGCCGGTCCCCTCTTGCTCTGTATTCTAATTGCAAAGGGGTTTAAGGGTTGCCACAACTCCTTGCCAGCTTTTCCCTTCTTGATACAACCATTGCATTCACAAATAATAAGACAATAAAGAAATCTCTCTCTCTTGAGATTACTAGAGAGTGCTTCACAATTACATCCATCAGTTTTTTCTTTTGCAAATTTAACCATTTTTTTTGTAAGAAGTGGCCCTTTTACAGATTTTCCTGGTGATAAGAATTGTCTTCTCCATCACTTTTTGTTACTCAAGAATAGGATTAAAAGGAAACAGCCTCTTGACTTCCATTTTAAGAAAGTACCATTGCGGATCAATGAAACAAGCATTCTGACACAGCAAAGACTTTTAGGAAAAATGGACCGAATGCGTGATTTGCCATACTTACATATGCAGAGAATACAGTGACAAATGAATTGCAGGAGGGGGAAATATATTAAAAAACAGTCGATATTTTCAACAGATTCACTTTGATTGCTGAAGTTAACAATTTGGAAAAGACAAATTGACAGTAAATAAAAAATTTCTATATCACCTAATAGAACATGACATGATAGCAAGAGGGCATAGGACACTGCAGCTGACCTGAGCAAGAATATCATTCATAAAATCACTAGCATCTGCATCTCCTTGGCCCAACACGCGCAAAAGCCTAAGCAATCTGATATGGAGAAAGGGGTCTGTGATCCCAGAAATATCATACTCAGGTGCATATGGACTGTTCACAACATCCTTTAGGACTTTGACCAGACCCTCTGTGCATTTCTATAGTCACAGGAAAAAAAAAAATGTCACATTAAAAAAAAAAAAATCAAAATTAGCAATATCATATAGTTCTCTCCTCTGAAGATGCAGTAGAATAATAAGGTCAACTACTTAAAAATTGTACAAACAAACATCAAGCTCTTTAGTGTTAAAGTTTTAGTCAATGACTGTGCTCTTCATAATACAAATATTTTCCAAACCAACTTTCCATATAGTCCCCCAAGGGTGGATATAACTACATCACAAACTTAGCTTGAAAGCTGTTTGAGGACTAAATTTCTTAAAGTATGTGATATAGACACTCAGAGTGGTGATGTATCCAGTACGCAACCTTTGAGAGTCTTCAGTCACTGCAACCCATTCTCTTTTACGGATAAACAAGGAAAAACGTGTATGATGTATCTTCTTGATCACAATTGTAAACCTTGGTATCCTTAATCTCCAAGGGAATTCCAGGACTCCATTTTTCAGGGAAAAGAAGGTGGTGCAACCCCCCCCCCCCCCCCCCCCCCCCAACCACCCCCCACCCCAAAAATTATTATCCCAAAATATATATATCTACAGTTATGCTTGTTAGCATTAATGATGTGCCTTATGAGGTGAATGAACAAACTGATGATGTCAATATCTTTTAAAGATGATCAGCACCACATCACTCAGCAAAATCTTGTGTACAACTCAAAATGGAGCATGCTTCTCTTTTTTCTACTACTACAGGCATGATCAGGTTACCTTTCTGAAAAACTCAAGGGCCTCTGCACTGACTCTACATAGATCTATACAAAGCTGAACTCCAGTTATCAGTACTCCATGGTGCTTTTCTCTAAGTAATGCAGCAGCAGGGTTTACAAAATTTTCTGCCAGGTCAGGCACTTTCCTTATAATCCTTATAGAGCATAATGCTGCCTGCATTACACAAGAACTTCAGTAAGTGTTACGAAATATAAATACATTCAAGAGGACCGAATAGAAGGAAAAGAAACATAAAGTATCAAATAGAACAAAAAATTACTTAAGGTTCAACTGTCTAATTTTTGCCAATAAAGTCAAAGCCATCAACTTATAACTTCTCACATGATTTCATCAGGATAAAAGGGGGAGGGGAACATAAAATGTTAAGCAAAGTAAAATGCCACTTGAACAACATGGTAACTGGTAAAGTGCAATCAATATTTTAACAGACAAGAAAAGTCCAAATTTGTCAACCATTCTTGCAGAGCTTCTAACAGTAAAACACCATGAAGAGGATAATGAACTTGCTCAAACCACTTAAAAATAGACTTCAGTGACAAAAGATTTTAGTGCTACAGAAGATACAGGACTTGTTTGGTGGGGAAAAAAAAAAAGTACTACAGGAGACATAGAATAACAAATTCCACCAGTGCCTGCTTGCCATTGTCCACAATGAAAGCTCATATGACTATGACATGTATCATATTAAGGGCACAAATCTTTCCCCCATGAGAAAGATGGCAGAAGGCTGGGAGCCTGGGATATTGTTCCAGCCTTCCAGGTAAAATACACAATAGGGAAAGGTTCGATATGCTTGATAGAATTCCTGCCATCAAACAGGATAGGAGTTTCAAATGGTTTAAAAATTTTTACAACAGATACTGCCGGACAGATGGTACACCACATCTTATGGTAGTTTTATCAAGAGTCGAGATCTGATAAATATTTGTGTTTTGTTGAAAGAAAGACTGTATATAGCACCTAAATTCATTCTTCTTTTTTGTTGAGAAGATTAGTTCTATGGTGTTGCCTCTGGAAGTAAAATACACTCACCCATGATAGCAAGAAAGATAAATTCAAGGGTGAATATTGTCATTTGTGATTTGTCAGCTTTCCCAAAAGTAATTAGGTCGATGCAAATTCTTTCTCAAAATTGCTATGACGACTATGTGGAAGTAAAAAGTTCTAGGGTCATCAAAGATTTTATGTCTCAAAAAAAGTAGCCACTACTACTCTATAGGTGTAAATTTTTCCCCTCGCTCTCCTTGTTAATCACTCTAATCCTGTCAGATAATTGCATCTTCTGAATAAATTTGTATATGTAGTATTCAGTCTCAATTTCACAAAACTGTCAGATTTTCCACCTGATATAAATACAATTACTTGCCAATAGTAAAAAGGAAAGAACATAGACATAACCTGTTGGCATTGAAAGTCAAACATATAAATTGATTACATGAATTTGTAGAATATGAAGTGCCTTGTAGAAGGCCACAAAAGGTACTTATTAGAACAACTTACTTTCTTCCTAACATTTGGATCTCGAAATTGCAGCAATCTTTCAACCTCCGGTGCAAGATCACGAGCCATTTCTGCAGAACATATATTCCCCAAAGCACAAAGAGCAAGTCCCACAATATATTGATTGGAATGATTAAGGTCTCTGTGCACAAGTTAAGGTTTTTAAAGGGCAAAATAAATTTTCATTTTTAAACCTGATTCCTGGTAAGAATAAAATTTAAATTTGGTAGAGGAGAAGAACGTGGAGACTATAAGTACAACATGTACGGGCAAGTGACCTAATAATAAAAACACAAAGCAAAAGGAGGAATTCACTTAGACTGGATACTGCTTTAGTGAGTTTGTGACCAACATTAGAACTTCCTGTCTTTCATCCAGAAGCAACATTAGGCCAAGATATCCTATTCTCTTCTCTGGAAATCCAGCAGAAGCAATTAACTTCAGGCATTCCATTTGACCAAAATGTGTGGGGTAACCAAGCATGTGAATGAACATGAGCTTTGCCAGATTACGGTGCATATAATCTTGATCATTTTCACTAATTGCTGAACGAATAGCAGCACATTCTTTTCTTACAACAGCGCGTTCCTCTGCTGCAGTTTTGCAAGCACGTATAGCCCGAATCATGTCCCTGCATTGGAACAGTAAGCATAAGCCACATCATGAAATAAACATGTTGAAGTTAATGATAGAGCTTGGATAGCCAAAGTTAATGAAAGAGAATAAACTAAATGTACGGTAATCAAAATTTTGATTTGGGTATTACCATTTCTGTTTATATAGGCAGATTGAATGGAGGAACTCTAGCAAAAACAAATTTTGATATAAAATACATATCATGAGGAAATCTAACGAGAGGTATTAGGTGGGGAAAGGAAAGAAGCAAAAAATAAAAATATAAAACTTAGGATAATAGATAAATAAATAAGGAAAATAAAAGAATTTCATGTTACAAGCCATGACTCAGAATTGAAGTTAGAGAGATATATACTTCATGAAGTCCATTTATTATCGAATCTTTAACGAACCTGTCTTAAAAATCAAAATTGCAATATTATTGTAATTTGTAAACAAATTTGCAGTATCTCCGGTACCATTTTCTATAAATTTAACCCTCAAACACACTTCAATAAAACAATTCCCCAAAACTAAAAAATTCCATGGCCCAGAAAATCATTACCTTCCACTTCTCATGGTGTTCTTGACAAACTTTTATGCTGAAAATTGTAAAATTAAGTTACATTTAATTTAGAAGCATATATTTTTTAAAAAAATAATAATAATAATCCAAGTTTGACAGATTTAATGCTTATTCGAAGATCAATTTCTTCTACCATAGCTTAAGAGTAACAGTTATGGTAACTTATGCAAAGCCGCAAATTAGGCCTCTTGAGTCTTGAGCTATTGTTCAAAAAAACTTTTATCCATGCTTTAACATATACCTTCTCCAACCTAATTCAATACTCAAGTTCCTCCACAAATTTCAACTTATCTTATTGCTGCTAAACTATTCACATGATGTAAACATAGATCCCAGTAGCCAAAAGCAACCATTTCAATGGCATTTGCTTCTTTGCTTTCCAGTCAACTGCCGGTCATTGCGAGTTCAAACTTTAGGGTGGATTTTACATGTTCTATTAGAGTGGATATGTATGGTTGTTGTTGGGTAGTCAAACAGGCTTCAGCCCCATTACCTTGGTGTGGATTTGTTACCAATGAGAATTCAAGTATTTATGATGATTCAAAAAGAAGATGTGCAAATTCTGTACCTAGTACAGGATATAGCACACTACAACCACATACAGATGTCCAAGAATCTAAGGGGAAAAAATGGAGTGCTATTCAAACCAGACCAGGCAGATAGCAGCTACCATGTTCATAATTAGCCACAACAACAGCCAAGCCTTTTTCCAATTATTTGGGGTCGGCTACATGAATTCCATGTTTCCATTCCGCTCTATTTAAGGCCATAGCCTCAGTCAATCCACATGCCGTCATATCCTTCTTTACTAACTCTACCCACGTTAACTTTGGTCTTTCTCTTCACCTAGTATTACCCTTAATGTGGACTATGTCACTTTTCCCAACCGGCGCACTTAAAGGTTTTCTTTGCACATGTCCAAACCATCTTAACCGATTTTCTCTCATTTTATCTCCAATTGGTGCCACTCCAACTATCTCCCGAATGTGATCGTTTCTATTTCTATCCTTTCTAGTCTTACCGCACATCCATCTCAACATTTGCATTCTCGCCACACTAACTTTATGCAAATGTTGTTTCCTAGCTGTCCAGTATTCGGTACCATAAAGTATGGTTGGCATTATTTTAAATTATCTTATACTCAGTTCCTTTTCTTTTTTTTTAAGAAATCTTAATGGTGAGCAGGTTGGTAATTAAATATCAGATTATTTTTAACCCAAATGTATTATTCCAAGTTACGCACCACATTGAATTAACATTCATTTAGTTGTTTTCCTTTCCCATATTTCCTTCGCAGATTCGGGTTTTAATGGGCTATGCATTTCTTGTTAAGGGAAATTTTGAAGGGCTTGTGGGGAAGCGCAGTAGGGCATGGGTTTGGAAGGCAGAAAATGCAGAAAGTTGATTTTTTGCAAGTCTTTGGCTGTTCATAGAGTATGAAATATTAAATTTCTAAAGATAAGCAAAAATTTACACAGACTAAGTGGGCTAAAATCAACATATGTCCTAATTTAATATAGTTCACATTAAGACACTAGTAGAACTGTTTTCGGTTTACATCTTATACATTTTTATATAGTACTTTAAATAAGGTTGATTAACAAAAGAAAGAAGAAAAAAAATCCTTAGTTACAAGATCCAAACAACTTCAAAGTTGAGAAAAACCCTGAAACAAACATAACATAGCTACACCATCCAATGTGTTCCAGCCGATACAGGAAGCTACAAGAGGTAGACTATATGTAAACCTAACCTCCAACATAATTCACGTGAGCCCCTACTGTGATACTGAAATGTGCTATCTCTGATAGACAACCCAAGCATTTACCATCCCTCCAAGCAATGGCCCAGCTAATCACATTATGAAATACAAGGCCCCAACCAGAAATGGAGATTTCTAAAAGAAGAAACTACAGCACAATTTCATCCTTCCCATGATTGGTTCACTTGTTGAAACCAAAACCAACACCACCATAGTTAATTATTCGCCAGCAACAGTAAAATTCTCACTCATTATTGGAAGTTTTAATTCCTAAAACCACTAGCCAATTATGAAACTATGTGCATACACATGCACTTATCATCTTCAATGTTCCAACAATTGAATGGCATCCACTATCAATTTCATTAATATTCAAGTTAGTGCAGTTGAATTAACCCAAACAAGCCCGCTAATAGCAATTTACGCAGGATTTGAGCACTTGATCTGATATGTATGACGAAAAGCAAGATTGAAGAATTGTTGGCTCACCTTAAACGCGTACCAGATGAGAAGGGATTCATGATTGGGTCCGTTTCGAAGCTCTACAATAGCTTGATCAGATCCGGATGCGAAGACGAACGCGAAACCGATCAATCACCGATAGCCCAATTATAAATATGTACGTGTATATATATATATATGAACAATATATATAAGCGAAGCTTAGAATCGAGATCTGGAGAGGTCAATTGGAGGATCTGGAATGGAATTACAGACTTGTACAGACGGATTTGGATCTAGAGAGAGAGAGGGAAAGGGTAGAAATGAGTTTAATGTGCTGATTGTGTAATGAATCTATTTGGGGAGTCTCTTTCCACTTACGATGGAATGCTGTGTGTGTGTGTGTGTGTGTGAAACAAACGAAATGAAACGGAGGCACTAAGAAATTCTAATGAGTAACGATTCGGTCACTGGTGGTGACTTTACTTATATCACCCTTGAAATATGATTGCAGAAATTCTTGTAGAGTTAAAAATATGGGTAAATTACATTCACCTCCCCTCCAGTTAGCTAAAAGCTCAAACAACTCCCCTCAATTTTTAGAAATATCATTTACCTCCCCTAAATGAACGTCCGTTAGAATCAATTAACCGACCATAGGATTTTTACCAAAAGACCTTACATTTGACCTAATTATTTTAATACAATAATAAAACTTTTCTTATATGACGATCGTGCCCTTAACACCATCCATTACAAACAAGTTCCTTAACCTCACCATTGTTGCCAAATTCACCCTACAAGCCACGCAATCAAGATGCCATCTTCTTCACCTCTTACGCTTTAAAGTTTAAACATCGACCGTATGTGTTGCAGAGCCCATAAACCTCAAGAAATAAAGTACATGAGGAAAAGAAACAAAGTAAAAATGACCCCAACTTCGTTTTTAACCAAAAACACCATTATCAAACTGAAGATGCGGCGGGGTCAGTGGTCTCCAAGGCAAAGGAAGAAAGAATAAGGTGGCAGAGACAACACACAGTATAAGAGATAAACGAAGTAGACGTGTAGGAAACGTGGGGGTAGTGAATGAGACTACCTATAAGATCAAATAAATTGTTATTGGCATGTTTAAGGAAGGTGAGAAATCCATTGATGATTATGTGGAATATGATGTGAGGAAGGCTTGGTTTGGTCTTTGGACCGGCATCACCTACCAAACCCTAATCTCTCTCACCATTATCGTTTGTCACTCTTCACTTCTCTCTGACAGCTCGATCGATCTCAGACTCCACTATTGCGTTTGAGGAGGGAATCATTGGCACCGTTAGCCGGCTAATACTTCATGTACCTGGGTTTGCGATTTTGACACCATTTTTTGGGATTTCTTTATGAAAAGTAGTGCATGTTATCAATTTAAAGGGGTGTGTACTGTAGATTTAGGGCTTGGATTCAGACTATCGATTCAACACTCATTCATGTTCATTGTAATAATACTGTGAAATGAGTAATTTGGTGCAAGGGTGTTGGTGGAATCCCTATAAATTACAGCACGACACGTGAATTGGGAACATTGTTTGTTAATATCAATAGTTGTATATAACAAAAATAAGTAAATTGGTGTTTTGGTTTTTTATTTGATTGTTTCAAGGTTAAATATGTATTTTTGACAAAGTCAGAGGGCAATATGAACTTTCTGGATTCTTAGCATGGTGACAGTAACTGACCAACTTTGACTTGGACGGACATCATTTTAGGGGAGGTAAATGATATTCTTGAAAATCGAGGGGAGTTGTTTGAACTTTTATCTAACTAGATGGGAGGTGAGCGTAATTTACTCTAAAAATAATATTTAATTTATTATTATTTTGGGTAAAATTCATTTATACCCTTGTGTTTTGCCTTTAATATAGTTAAACCCCCCCTAAATATGCATAATTCCAGTAAGACCCGTGTCATACATTGTCAAAATGAAATGACTAGTTTACCCTCATTATTAAATATAATATTTTACCATTTCTCATACTTTATACTCTACACCGAATATTTTACACTCACACCAAATACTCCGTTTTGCTCACCTGCCTATCCAAGGAACACGTGGTCAAGGATTGCATTTTGAAATCTAAAACCCTCTTTTTGGCCATTTTTACCATGTTCTTACCTTTATATCAACATAATTCTTTTATGTTTAAGAGATTAAGGCTAGTTTTTAGCCTTTTAGTGTCCTTTTATCAACAAAGTAACGTTAGGTTTGCTTTGGTGCCTTAACCAAGAAAGGGAGAGTTGTTAATATATGCACATGGTTGATTAATGATTCTTATTTGTCATTTTTAGACAAGTGGAGCAAGAAAATTGGAGAATCAGGAAACTCAAAGGAATCATTGCATCTTAAGGTGCAACTGTTGCAAAAAAATGAGCAATTTTGATTTTGTTGCACTCAATTTAGGTAGAGAAGGCATCATTGGCCTTCTCTAAAAGCATGTGTAAGCTTGTGGCAGCTCCCTAGAGTTCTCCCATGTGATTGTTTGGTCTTTAATTTTGTTATAATATATATATATATATATATGGGTATTTTAATTAACCATATTTTGCTGATTTGTGCAAAGATGGTGTTAGGCGTTGAATGATTATGAACGACCAACGTGTTGATTATCAAGATCAAGGGATTTGTTCACTGATTAGATGGCCAAATATGCTTGATCTACCTTGATACATAGAAAAGATTTCCATTTGCAACTTAGTTGTGGTTATATAACATTTATCATGTACCCTAATGTATGATAATGTCTTACTAGTACGATTGTGCCATTCATGATCATCGAAACTTTATCGCGATGATGAATATGTGCTCGTTATAATTATATTTTCCCTTCATTTATGATTCCAGACATGTGTGGATGTAAAAATTATGATTTTATACTACCCCTTTGTTGGAATGAAAATTGTGAAAATACTTCTGTCAAATAGATTGGGCAAAATTGAATGTCTACATATAAAATATTAAGTTAAAACATGTAATAACTCGGATTTTTATTTAGGTTTTAAGTGTGATTATTTGTTGATTTAGTATTATTGGAAACTATATTATAAATTGTGGGAATTTTGTTTGGAGATTTTGTATTAAGTTAGAGTTATTGTGGAAGTTTATAGAATTAGGAGGAGTGGATTAATGGGCTTTTAGGCGGCAACCTTGTAGAGAACTTGGATGATATATGTTATGTCCCTCAGATGTATAGTCAAGACTTGTATACATCTTATGACTTGCACCAAAATGGGTGTCAAAAAGAAAAAAAAAAAACCGTATAGAGTTTGAAGAGAAATAGCCTGAGAAAAGAAACAAATGGAAGGAAAATAGCCATAACCGAATACTAGAGATGGAAAGGATGAGCAGGCCATTAGGAGAAAGAGATGAGAAGGGCTATGGGATCTTCAACCTCATTCTCACCAATTTCAACTACCATTTGACCTTAGGCAGGGTTTCTCTAATTTGTGTTACCACATGTGATTTTGTGTTCCTATCCTTCATACTTTATATTGGATTTGTTATTTTCAAGTGCTATACGTAATTTGCCCTATAATTTGACTTGATTCCCTTGATGTCATGTGCTGAATTTTCGATTCCTTGTTGATTTAATTTTGTTTTAATTCGTCCTCCTCCATCACAAATATATCTAAACTTCTTGTTCAGTTATTGGAACATGCCCCTATATGTGTTATTGATGTTCGTATGATCCTACTCTTGTAAAGCATGTTCTTTTGTGTTCAAAATCCTGTAAGAACACGTATTAGATTTTTCCTACTAGGACTTCTAATCTCACCCTACCATCATTGCAGGTTTCATTAACCAGAGGAAGAATTGGAGTTGCTGGAAATGCTAATTGGACACCATCTTGTTCATGTAGATAATTTGTTTGATGAAATGCTTGTTAGAAACTAGTTTGAGGAATTTGATGTAAATTTTAGAAATTGTGGATTTCATATGATGATGTTGTATTTAAATTATTTGATGGACATTTTAGAGATAAATGTTTACCCCTCATATGAGTTGTAGCTTGAAGTGGGTATTTGGGGACAAACAAATATTTTGTACTGTGCTGATATTCAATAATTTCTCCAAGGAGCTGTATTGATCTGAATGCTTTCAAATTTTTATCACGGCTTTCTTTATTTATCTAGTATTTCTCCATAAAAATTCGTAATTTGTAGCTCAGTAGATATTTTTCTAAAAATTCGAGAGCACCTGCTGTCCATCTTTAAATCGTTGCTGGAAAACAGATTTTAAATGAATTATTTGACCAATTTCTTGACATCGGATTTTTATCAAAATTTTCAGATTTATTCTTTCATAATCTATTGTCAAAATAAATTTACTTTGCCCAATTCAGAGATTGAACGAATTTTTTGAAGTATTTGTTGCCCAGATTGTCTTCGAACTATGTACTGCTGATTTACTCCTCAAATCTGATTTAATTGGAAAATCTTCAGCCTCCGTGAGTTGCTCAGTTGTGTTCCACTTTGAATCTAGTTCTAAATCATTTTTGTTTGCTCTGTTTCGATTTAAAATGAATTTTCTACAAATTTTCAAGTAGTTGTTGCACAAATTTTGTTTTGAGGATGATTTGTGATGTGTTTAAATTGATAATTATCGGAGTAGCGCAGCGGGATTTTGTTTGTGGTTATTTGGGTTGAAGTAGGACCAAGAATGGTTTGAAAATTTATTCGGACGGTTTTCGAACCTTGTTTTGTCATAGTCCCTAATTTCAGGTGGTTGCAAAACATGTATACCATTAAGGTGTATTTTTTTTAAAACACTCTTACTATAGTCACAGAAGTTTAATAGTATTTGAAGAGAGTTGAAATGGACTTTGGTAGGACCTAATAAAAATTTTATTTTTTATTTTATAATAACATCAGGTTCTTATTTAGGCGATATAATAGGAAGATGTGATCAAACCTCAAGTGGTACAAAGCAAGTGCATTTACTTTTTTTCTTCTTCTTTATACTACTAATAAATATCACATCGAGACTTTTGTGTAACTTAATAATCAGCTTTCACTTAGGCTTTGTTTGGATTGAGGGATTTGGAGGGATTTGGAGAGAAAAGAAAGGGAAGGATAGTGTATATTGTGTTTGGATGAGAGGAATTGAGTAGAAAATAAATGATTGGGAAGGATTTGGAGGGATAAATCCCTCAAATTGTATCCCTCCAAAATTGATAAGATTTGGAGGGAAAAGAAACTAGGTTAAGTAGTTGTTTCATTATGACAAAAGTATCCCTCCAAAATTGATCAAGTCTTGCATTGAGTTGTTGGGGACAGGTCACCTGAAACGAAGAAGCAACCTGCTTAAAAACAGTAGATAGGCAAGCTTATTAATGGCATATGGCCGAGTAATCACTTCCATATGCAAAGT